TTTAATTATCATTTATATAACATGTTAAATTTTTATTTATAATTTATATTTAAAAAATTAAAAAAAGTAAACTAAATTTATTAAAAATAAATGGATGAAATATACTGGAAGGCAGAATTTGAAATGTTGAGGTCAACCATGGGATTTGTCATTAATTTTGCCCAAATGGATCATTTCCAATGGATTAATATCAATTTTAAAAAAAAAAAGAAAAAAAAAAGCTTGTGAATCGAGCAAATTTCATCTTTAATATTTGAATGGTCAAGGTATCTCGTGTAGGAATGCTTAATTTGTACTTTATGAGTTCATAACTATTAACTATTATATTTGTTGTTAATTAACACATACAATTATCAATAGTTATTAATAATTAAACTAAATACAATTATATTATTTTTGTGTGATTTTAAATTTTTTTATAAAACCATAACTTTAACCCTAAAAAAATAACTTATGTAAATTTCAAAACTAATTTAATATTTGATAATTTTAAGAGCATATCCTCTATTAAAATTTAATGCATGTTTAAAAGAAATAGTATCTTGTGCCAACAACACACTATTTTTTTATGGATAGATAAATTGATTGAAATTTTTATATGAAGATAGAGAGGGAGGAGAAATGAGAGTTTGAAACTTTAACTATACAAATGAGAAAATGTCATTTTATCAATAATTTGGTTAATTACTCTAAAGACCTTTCTTAACAACACACTATTAACAAACTAATTCATTATTTATTAAGTTAAAAGCACATCATTCACATTAGTCTATAGAGTTGAGTTGATCAAGTCAATACATTCATTTTATTTTTATTTGTTTTATCTTCATATTTACTAATTTGATGGCACAAGTTTCACATTAATTAGTCTATAACACGATTTATTAATTTAAGAGCAATTCAATACGAAAATGCCTTCTTCGGATTACTCCATGGACTTGAGTTAGTCAAGTCAATACACTCATTTGACTTGTTATGTCTTTATTGTTACCTAATTGAAAAACACAT